GGTGGTTTTGGGTGGATAAAGCAAATATGCTGAAACATTTATAGTTGGTGGTGAGTCTAAAGTAAATGGTACAAGGTTATTCATTATCCTGTTCTTTCAGCTTCTTTGCAGATTAGATTTTTTTTCAAAGCTAAAAGTTAGGAGAAGAAGATAAACAGAAATGGACTATACTCGATAACTCCTCATTATTAAGCATACTTTTTCAATTATAGCAATGCTTTAGAAATATAAAGATATACCCTCCTTTATAAAGAAAAGAAAATTACTGTGGACCCCCCCCCCCCAAGTAACCTAAACTTTTAACATCATAATGTTATTACTATATATATATATATATATATATATATATATATATATATGTACTGTAAAGCTGTAGACCATCCTCATATGCTCCTAACTCTTAAGTTAACTATAAACTCTGAACAAACTCTAATTATTAATAAAAGCAATAAAAATATAAAATCAAGAAAATTCAAAATATGGCATAACAATAATTGGATTAACTGGTACATATTTTGCTGAAAATAAGTTACCACTTGAAATAGCAAATGGGTTCTGAGTACTCCAGTACAGTTTCTTTTGAGGTTGTCTGTCTAGAAACATCTGCCATGTGATACCTCACTGTAAAACCTTTGTGCAGTACACAGTTTTTAGCTACTGTAAAACTTTTGAGCAGCACACAATTACCAAATATAAGCTTGTATGCCTTTATCTTTTACATATTACACCCCTTTTGTATTAACTTGAGAATAAGTTAGTATATTATTATGCAGTAGTACGTTATTTTTATAATACCAAATTATTCTTACCTTATGAAATAACTTGAAAAATTACTTATTAAAATGCTTTTGAATTGTGAAATATTAGAATATTGTTACTGTTTGACCCAACTACAAATCTTCATGGGAAAATACCTGCCCATACCCACAGTATTGTTGCAAATAATTAATGCAGTATCACAGCTTTGTCAGACTGTACTACCAGTTGGGCAATCAAGGACACAGCCAAAAATTTAAAACGAAAATCTGAACAACAAAAGGTGGTGGTCAAGAAGCCCTGACATGTACCTAGTTGTAGAATGCTATGCACATGTGTAAGGTGTAGTGTGCATATCCAGGAAAAACTGAAGAGACTCCCAGTCTTCATCTCTGCTGACCTTGAGGCTCCTTGTAAGCAGGAAGTGAAGGCTAAGGCAGATTTAAGCTTTGAAAGCATTTGCCAACATACACACAGATCCCTTTGGCAGAGAGTAGAAGACATAATGATGCAAAGCATTTAAAGAAATCTTGTTACTACCAAGTGTTGCTGATCTAGGAATAACTCTTACTTAGCTGGACTTAAAAATTAAAACAAAAATAAATTAAAAACTCATTAAAGCTGTCAGTGGCTCTATGCAGTAGGAATTACAGACTGCAAGATATAGTCCCAGAGAAGTCACTAAACCACAAACAGCAACACCACCAATAGCAAAAAGCTGAGCTGGAAGAAAACCAGGAAGATCTGAGTCCACAATTGCCACATAATATTTTCCAAAATGTCTACTTTTCAATAAAGGTATAAACAGAAATTCTTAGTGGAAATTATCCTAAATATAGGGCTTATTAAACAGAGACTTTAAATTACCTATTACAAATATATTCAAAAGGTAATTAAACCACAAAGAGTTAAAGGAAAATATGACAAATATAGTTAATCAAATAGAGAATATTAACAGAGATAAAAAGTATCATAACTAAACATGAAAAATTTGTTAGATTAATGAGAAAATTTGAGCTGTCAAAAGAAAGAATCAGTAAACTGGGAGACAGGTCAGTTGTGATTATCCATTGTAAATAATACAAAGAAAAAGAATGAAAGAAATGAACATCAGAAACCTGGCGACACCATCAAACATGCCAACATTTTTATTTTTAGACTTCCAAAAGTTAGGGGGTGGTGGGTAGAAAATATTTGAAGAAATAATAGCCAGTATTTTCTCATATTGGATGGAAAACATCAATCCACACATCCAAGAAGCTCAGTAAACTCCAAATAGGTAAGATGCACACCTAATCACATCATATTGAAACTATTGAAAGGCAGGGAGAGAATCTGGAAGCAGCAATCAAAAAGTTGCTCAACAAGTAGCAGGAATACTCATTAACAGCTGAATTCTCATCAGAAATCATGACTGCCAGTAGGCAGTGGGATATGTTTAAAATATTGAAAAGACTATCAATAAAGAATTTTACGTTCGGCAAAACTGTTCGTCAAAAATGAAGGAGAAATTAAGATACTCTCAGATAAACTGAGTGAGTTCTTTGTTAGGAGACTTAACCCTGTAAGAAATACTAGGGATTTCCAGCTCTCTGGAATCCCCTCCCACATTGTGGGAGCTCCCTTTTCCCTCTGGGATTTCCCCTCTGGAATCCCCTTCCACACTCTTCATGAGAAGCCTTCTTTTCCTTCTCTTTTCTCTACCCAAATAAAATCACCTTTAAAAATAAAAAGAAATACTAGTGAGTTCTGCAGACCAAAATAAAGGGATACTAGACTGTAATGTAAGTCCATAAAGTAATAAAAACCAGTTAAGATAATCATATCGGTATATGAAAAAGATAGTTTAGATGCATTTTTGTAAAGAATTTTTCTTCTGATTTAACCCTTTACTAATCTGTCCTGAGAATACTTGCTGGTGGCACTTGTGGCTGCAGTTGTTTACCCTGAGTTAACTTTGCCACAGAATATCTTGCTTTTATCATTATTTTCACATCACTCTAATATATCAACTTTGGAAACAAAAGACATCATTCTATCTATAACATTTTGTTTTTAGTATGGTATTTACATTTACGCAAATGAAAATCGAGAAAATTTGACAGATACTATCGATCACTTAAAATGTCAAATCCAAAAAGCATAGCATTCTTATGTGTGATGTTAACATTGTACTCAAATGGTTCTGGCCAGAGGTGCATTTGATGAATCCAGTTTTTTCAAAATAGACAATTTTGATGATTCAGACAATTCTGATGTTAGTTCTGTTTAGAAATAACTCCAAGGACAGTTTTATATTTTATTTTCACACTCAAAATCAGTCAGATTTGCAATAGCCTTGAAGAGTGTGTTCATGTAAAATTAAATGAGCTCTGGCAGCAAGCTGCACTTTTTTTTTTCTAAACCGGAAAAGGGTTGAAAGACAATTGACTAAAATGGTAATTTTGAACACAGGAGGATAGAGGCTGCAGTGATCAGATCGCTCCACGGCACTCCAGTCTGGGCAACAGAGTGAGACTCTGTCTAAACAAAAATTCATCAGGCTTTTTTGCCAAAAAATCCTAAAATTTATATGAAAATGCCAAAGACCAGGGGAGCCTAAACAATTTTGAAAAAGAACAACAGAGTTGGAAAATATTTCTTCCCAATTTAAAAACTTTAAAAGCTAGAGTTATCGCCGGGCGCGGTGGCTCAAGCCTGTAATCCCAGCACTTTGGGAGGCTGAGGCAGGTGGATCACGAGGTCGAGAGATCGAGACCATCCTGGTCAACATGGTGAAACCCCGTCTCTACTAAAAATACAAAAAACTAGCTGGGTATGGTGGCGCGTGCCTGTAATCCCAGCTACTCAGGAGGCTGAGGCAGGAGAATTGCCTGAGCCCAGGAGGCGGAGTTTGCGGTGAGCCGAGATAGCGCCATTGCACTCCAGCCTGGGTAAGGAGCGAAACTCCGTCTCAAAAAAAAAAAAAAAAAAAAAAATTAATAAACCAGAAGTAAATCCTTGTTTATCATGAATTCATTATCAGCAAAGGCGCCAAGGAAATTCATTCGGTAAAGGAGAGTCTGTTCAACAAATAGTGTTAATAAAACTTAATGTAATGTCACAGCCTTAGATGCAAGAACTAAAATAATTTTAGAAATAGAATATCTTTAATACCTTGGATTAGTCAAATATTTCTTGTTTGCAAGATGAAAAGTGTCGTCTAGTAAAAAGAAATTTCACATCCAAGATTCAAAACTTTTATTCTCTAAAATATACCATTAAGCAATTATAAACAAAAGCAACAGAATGTCTGAAAAAATTACAAAACATACATCTGAGAAATGTCTTGAATTCAGATATTTTTAAAAATTCACATAAACTGGAACCCTCATGTGTTGCTGATGGCAATAAAGAATGATGCAGTAAACAGTCCATTTCTTAAAAGTTTAATATTACCGTATGGCCCAATAGCTACTCTTCTTGGTATCTACCCAAGCGATATGAAAACGTCCACACAAACAATCATGATTGTTCGTATCAGCATTATTCATAATAATCAAAAAATGGAAACAAATGTCCATCACCTGGTGAGTTGATTGACAAAATGTGGTACATCCACATGGTGGATACTATTCAGCAATAAAAAAGAGCTGCTAACACATGTTGAAAAATAGTTGAACCTCATATCAGAACATTATGCAACATGTAAGAAGCTATACACAGAAGCTACATAATATATTATTTATATAAAGGATTTATAGAGACAGACAGGAATAGAGGTTGCCTGTGATGGTAGATGGCAAATGAGTGATCTTATTGGAGTGCAAAAATCTTCTAAAACTGATTTATGGTGATGGTTGAACTGCTGGTAAAATTTAGTAAAGATTGTTGAACTTCATACAATATTTTCAGCATGTGTATTTTATTATATACAAAATGTATCTAAATAATGGTTTTTTTAAGGCACATTTGGGAAATAAGATTAATGTTTAGCCAGATGTCCCAATGTTTATATTAACATTTTTTAATGAAGCCATTAAAACATAAAGATTGATTTTTAAGTTGTCTGTTATTTTGAACCCTTGTTACTCTCTTTTTAGAGCCAGTCTTATTTATGAAAAGGATTTCTTTTCCTCAGTTTTCTGGCTGTTAGAGATTAGGCATTATATATGAAACTTTTAATGAAAAAAACAACCAGTTAAAATTAACTTTACTTTCCATTTCTGTATTTACTACATTTGTCTAATTTTCTTTTGTTTTAGATCACTGTGTCCACTACTATGATCTTCGTAACACTAAACAGCCAATCATGGTATTCAAAGGACACCGAAAAGCAGTCTCTTATGCAAAGTTTGTGAGTGGTGAGGAAATTGTCTCTGCGTGAGTATTACTCTACTCAGAGATTGAGCTTAATACAGAGCTCTGTACTTAACTTACTAGTTTGTAATGTCACTGAGGCTGTATGTAAACTATAATATTGGAGCATATGTACTTTTTCTTAAATAGTAGATTTTGTATGTCTTGTCCAATTAAAAGCGTTTGGGTTCTGGTCTGTATTACACACTTTTATATGTAATTTGTGAATAAAATCCGAAGATACTAGTTATTTATATACCCTCTCCCCTTATCTAATCTTCATATGTTTAATTGCCTTTGAACTTCAGATTCGATTTTAGCTATTGCTTCTCAAGAAGAGATAAACAACATAGTTGATGCAATGGAATAAGAAGTATTTTATTTATTAAAGTCAACTAATATGTTATTACATATTTTATCTACTTGCAGTATAGTCATAGAGTTATTTTTGGTTTTAAATATCACTTGGTTGGCTTTTACACTGACATGTTCATTTCTCTGTGATTTCATGGTGAGTTTTAAATATGTTAAAAAGAATTTTTTTTTTTTTTTTCTGGGACAGAGTCTTACTTTGTCACCCAGGCTGGAGTGCAGTGGTTCTGTCCCGGCTCACTGCAACCTCTGCCTCCTGGATTCAAGTGATTCTCCTGCCTCAGCCTCTCCAGTAGCTGGAACTACAGGTGCATTCCACTACGCCTGGCTAATTTTTGCATTTTTAGTAGAGACAGGGTTTCACCATATTGGCCAGACTGGGCTCAAACTCTTGACCTCAGGTGATCTACCTGCATTGGCCTCCCAAAGTGTTGGGATTACAAGTGTGGGCCACCATGCCCAGTTAGCAGATGAACATTCTAACTCAGTCTGGCTCTGGAGCAAACTGCATTGCTTCTAATTAGCAGTGATGAGTTTTGTGACAAGAAATTCTGACTGTGTTCTTACTCTTCGTATTTTTCCTCAGCTCAACAGACAGTCAGCTAAAACTGTGGAATGTAGGGAAACCATACTGCCTACGTTCCTTCAAGGGTCATATCAATGAAAAAAACTTTGTAGGCCTGGCTTCCAATGGAGATTATATAGCTTGCGGTAAGTGAAACCATCGTTTCCAGGAACTTTTTTTAACAGGTATTTGAAATTCAACTCAATGGAAATAGACTAAATACTAAGGAAAAGTTCTGTGCACTCAGAAGATAGTATAATAGGCTTGATGCCCCAGCACTATTGATTTTCCTCGTGTAGTACTAGAAGAGCATTAGTCCTTCTCTTTTTTATTGTGTACAAACCCTGAACACCTGAAATAACATAAAATTTTTAACTGTTTTACGGTCATTCTCCATTATAACATAATTCTTTAGATATTGTTTAGGAGACAGAAAAGATTAAGTTATGTTAATAATATTTCTAATCTTGGAGACATTATATGTCTTCTAAACTTGATATTCATTTCTCCCTATCTGCTGTTCTCTTCATGAAGTAATCTATTTGCTTAGCATTGATTTGTTATTCTAGGACTTTTATTGTTGATAATTTATACAAATTTAAATAAGAAATAGAAAAACGAAATTTGATATTTGAAGGCTCTGATATGTCTAATGCGTTGAATATATGAGCTTGATCATTACTTTTAAATGACTTGGCCTTTATTCAGCACAGTTTACTTTCTCCAAGTATGTATGAGAATGCCAAAGCAAATATCTGCAACAATTATCCTATCTTAATAGATGGCTCAAAATTACAGTTCATAGACCATTAATAGAATAATTCCTATACTGAGAAATGGAAATAAATTGTGTATGCTGTTAAAATTTGCCTATGTAAGTGCTGCCACTTCCTTTTACCTCTCTAAATGGAAATTTTCCTAAATGTAATTTAAGATCCTTGTTGTAATAACATATTTCTGATTCTACTATAGGCTTATTATTAGGTTGGTGCAAAAGTAATTAAAAGTAATGACAAAAGCCACAATTACTCTTGCACCAACCTTATAAACGATTTTATAGGGTAATTTCAGCCTTAGAATTACCAATGTTGTTATATCATTTAATACTGATTGTTTCTTTAGATTAGTAAAGTATAGCTTTTGTTCAAGAATCCTTTTCTTACATAATTTCTAATTAGTCCTGTGATCTAGCCTTTCAAATTTGACCATAAAAGATCTTTGACCTAAAACTTTGGATGATAATTACTATTGGAATGTGATGTTCTAATTCCAAGTTTTCCTATTCTAAAATATTATTATTGTTTATTTTCAGGAAGTGAGAATAACTCTCTCTACCTGTACTATAAAGGACTTTCTAAGACTTTGCTAACTTTTAAGTTTGATACAGTCAAAAGTGTTCTGGACAAAGACCGAAAAGAAGATGATACAAATGAATTTGTTAGTGCTGTGTGCTGGAGGGCACTACCAGATGGGGTAAGTTTTCATATCAGCTTTTTTTTTTTTTACCTTGGAGTCTCATATTATGCATTATGAATACACAGGGTTTAATTAAATTTTAAAATATAAATTGGTATGTGGTATGTGCTTTTTTTTTTTAAGTTTATAATGTGTCAAAGACAATAGTCATTTTTAGGCAGTGATTGAAATGCACAGTAATAGAGCAATGTCGTGGTGTCATTTTGTCCCTCTGTGACCCGTAGCATCTAGTGCATATCTCAGTTATAACCATTATCATATTGTCTCTTTATATCTCTTCTATAAGACTGGAAATTCCTCCAAAATACACATTCTGTCTCATCTTCTTTATTGATTATGTGCAGTATATGCTTGGTAAACGTTAAGCTGAGCTGGTATGTTAATAGGAAGAAAAAGAATTGATCTAGATAAAGGAGAGTGGCCTATATGTTCCTCTAATTAAACACTATTTCAAAGTAGAATTGCTCTCTATAAAATACATTTATATACAAACATTTAAGCATGTTTAGTTTCTTGATGAGAAAGTTATACTACTGGGTTGTATAAAGAGAAGTTGCCTTAAACTTTACTATTATGTTTTAAAGTGTAGGGTTTTCCATAAGTTATATGAAAAACTAATTTTTGTTACTATCTTGTTAGTATTGTATTTTTAAAATAGCTTTTTACATGCTTAGTTGGTTTTATTTTTGACAAAGAAATTCTGACCTGATACGTAATTTTAAAATTCAAATTTCAGATATAGTTTCAGTTTAATTAGATATATTCTATTGCTGTCTTATTTAAAGTTCCGTGGGTCCATTTCCAGTTTTGCTAATTGACATACTAGAAAATTTGAACCAACCCTTCCTCCAAGTAAAATTAGAAAAGTAGGACCAAATAGACGTATTTTAAAAACAAAAACCTATTTGAGAGCATTGGAAAGCACACAAATACAGGAGAGAATGACCAGATTCAGATTATGGCTTTTGAATCTGCTTTTCCCCTGTGAGCATTTGTCAGTTTTGGTGGGGTGGGTGAAAGCACTTATACTAGCTTGACAGGGTTGCAGGGACTGGAGCTCAGTGCCTGTCATTGTATGGGTGACTGCTTTGTTTTAAGTCCCCAAATGGATATAGTATAGGGGAAACCAATAGAAGATAAGCCTTCATAGCGATTGCATCTAAACTTCATATCAATCTCTGAAATTGAATTGAGGTGACCCTTGATTGGTAATATCCACAGGATGCAAACTTAAATCCTCTCTGAACAAAGATAAGATCATCTAAGGCAGGCGTCCCCAGACTTTTTACACAGGGAGCCAGTTCACTGTCCCTCAGACCGTTGGAGGGCCGCCACATACTGTGCTCCTCTCACTGACCACCAATGAAAGAGGTACCCTTTCCTGAAGTGTGGCGGGGGGCCGGATAAATGGCCTCAGGGGGCCGCAGTTTGGTGACTCCTGATCTAAGGGCTTAATTTATTTTTTTTCAGTTTTGTAACTACAATAACTACGGTACAATAAGAAATAGACATAGTAAAAGATAAGACAGCATGAATTAAACCAGCATAAACAACAGGCTATAGAAAATAATATTGTCTGATAACTCCAATATTTAGAGTCACAGCAGCTCTAAACATTGGAGTTACCAGACAGCTTGAAAGTAACTGTGCTTACAACATGAAAGACAAGACTGAAAATTTTAACTGCGAACTGGAAACAATTTTTAGAATGAAAATCCTAGAGTTGAAAAAAATTACAAAAATTAAGAATTAGTGGATGTATTGAATGGAAGACAAAGTAAAAATAAGAATTAATGAACTGATAGGTAAATTAGGAGAAAATACACATACAGAAGCATGGGAAGACAAAATGATGAAAAAGTACAGATATCAGATAAAGGATCAAGTAAGAACCTATAACATATTCAATAGGTGACCTACAAGGAGACAAGAGAAATAATGCAGCTAGAGCAAATATTAGAAGGGATTATTGTTGAGAACTTCAGTTGACCTATGATACCAAGGCAGAGATTCAGTAAGCCTTTCAACTGCAGAGAAGGAACCACTAGAAATCTACAATGTGATTGAACATAGAATGTCATACTTAGACTTTTAACAGACATAGGCCTGTCTGAAAATCTGACCTTGGGTCTGACTTCTTATAGCACTATTTCTTTATAAATATCCTGAGTTAAGAGAAACATGGAATGTTATATGCAAGGAACTAAATATCTCTTAAATTTACTATGAAAACTTATCTGTGGCATCACACCTGGACTGAGTGAGAGAACTCTGAATTGGCATAAGGGCCCTACATCTATGAAAATTGAGTAGTGTAAGATTGGCAGGAAACCAGGACACATCTGTGGATTGAGGTAAACTACATGCACCTCAACTGTCTCTGGCAATAGTGAGCACTCTTTGTGTATGTGGGGGAATGATTGTTTGGCCTCCTTCAGAGTTTTAAGATACTCTGTGCTCAATTCTATCCTATATCCTTCTGTAAATCTAACTGAGGGCTGGATTAAAGCCTCTGGTATCTGATCCTATGACCCCTGCCAGTGGTAGGATGGTCACACCTTGCAACATAGTAAAATTGCTAAAAATAGCTAAAATACAGAGAGAGTGTATTAGTCTGTTTTCATGCTGCTAATAAAGACATACCCAAGACTGGGCGTTTACAAAAAAAAAAAAGAGGTTTATTGGACTCACAGTTGTCGCTGAAGAGGCCTCACAATTATGGCAGAAGGTAAAAGGCATGTCTCATATGGCAGTAGACAAGAGAGCTTGTGTTCCCTTTTTAAAACCATCAGATCTCACGAGACTTATTCACTAATATCATGAGAATAGCATGGGAAAGACCTGCCCCCATGATTCAAGCTGTCAGTGGATATATCATTTTGGGATCTGGTGGATGGTGGCCCTCTTCTCACAGCTCCACTAGGTGGTGCCCCAGTAGGGACTCTGTGTGAGGGCTTCAACTCCATATTTCCTTTCTGCACTGTTCTAGCCGAAGTTATCCTTGAGGACCCCATTCCTGCAGCAGACTTCTACCAAATACCCTAAATTATCTCTCTCAAGGTCATATGACTGAGCATATCTGTCATCTCACATACAGATTCTTTTTGTAGTGGGAACATTTAAAATCATATTCTCTTAACGGTATTGAAATATCCATTACATTATTATTAACTACAGTCACTCTGCTATGTAATACATCTCAAAACTTTTTTTTTTTTTTTAAATCTAATTAGCTGAAACTTTGGAGCCTTGGACCAACATTTCGGCATCCTCCCACTCCCATCCCCCACCTCTGGCAACTACCATTCTATTCTCCATTTCTCTAAGTTCAGCTTTTTAAGATTCCTCATATAAGTGAGATCATGCAGCATTTCTTTCTTTGTATGGTTTATTTTACTTAGCATAATGTCCTCCAGGTTCATGTAAAGCTGAATAGTATTCCATTATTTATATACAGTTTAACCTCGAACGACGTGGAGGAAAGGGGCACTGACCCTCCACTTCGTTGAAAATTTAGGTGTAATTTGATTCCCAGACCCCACAGCTTAACTACTAATAGCCTACTGTTGACTGGAAATCTTACCAATAACATCAGTTGATTAACACACACTATGTACTGTATTTTTCCAATGAAATAAGCTAGAGAAAAGAAATATTAAGAAAATCACTAGAGAAAATATATTTACAATTCATTCGATGAAGTGAATCATAAAGATCTTCATTCTCATTATCTTCACATTGAGTAGGGTGAGAAGGAGAAGAAACAGGTGGGGTTGGTCTTTCTCTGGAGTGGCAGAAGAGGAAGAAAATTTACATATAAGTGGATCCTCACATTTCAAACCTTTGTTTTTCAAGAATCAGCGGTATACCACATTTTCTTATCCATTCACTTGTTGATAGGCACTTAGGTTGATTTCTTATCTTTGCTATTATGAATAATGCAATGAATAAAAGAGTGCACATGTTTTTTCAGTGTCCTAATTTCAGCTACTCTTTTGAAATTGAAGTGGGATTCAATGCCCAGAAGTGTGATAGCTAGGTCATATTGCCATTCTATATTTAGTTTTTTGAGGACCTCCATATTATTTTCCATAAGGGCTGTACCGATTTACTTTCCCACCAACAGTGTTACAAGGGTTCCCTTTTCTCCACATTCTTGCCAACGCTTGTTATCTTTCATCATTTTTTAACATGCCGTATTTCACAGATGTCATTTGTCTTTTTGATGATAGAAATTCTAGCAGGTGTGAGGTGATATCTCATTGTGGTTTTAATTCAAACTTCCCTGATGATTAATGATGTTGAGCAATTTTTCATATACCTGTTTGTTATTCGTATGTCTTTTTTTGAGAAATGCGTATGCAGGTCTTTGCTCATTTCTTAAGTGGGCTATTTTCTTGTTGTTTTGGTGTTGGAATTGTTTATAGATTTTGGTTAACACCCTAACTGATGTATAATTTGAATATTTTCTCCCAATCCATATGTTGTCTCTTCTCTCTGTTGTTTCCTTTGTTGTGCAGAAGCTTTATATTGATGGTTTGATGCATTCATGCTTGTCTATTTTTGCTTTTGGGTGGTTGTAGCCAAAACATTTTCCAGACCATCATCGTGGAACTTTTATGTTTTCTGGTAGTTTTATAGTTTTTAGTCTTATGTTTAAGTTTCTAATCATTTTGAGTTGATTGTTGTATATAGTGTGAGATAAAGACGCAACTTCTTTCTTCTGCATGTGGATATCCAGTGTTCCCAACACCATTTATTGAAGAGACTGTCTCTTCCCCCCCAGAGAGATTCCTTTTTTTCCTTCCCTGCCCCAGGACATAGGCATAGGCCAGGACTTCATGACTAAAACACCAAAAGCAATGGCTGCAAGCGCCAAAATAGTCAAATGGATCTAATTAAACTCCAGAGCTTCTGCACAACAGTCATTACAGTGAACTGGCAACCAATGGAATGGAAAAAAATTTTCTCAAGCTACCCATCTGACAAAGGGCTAA